GGGCCGGGGCAGGAGGCGCCCTGCGTGGGAATTGAGGGGCTGGGGTGAGATGTTACAGTGGGCTGCGATGGGTGTGGGGGGGGTGAGGATGGGCTGAGGACCCCTGAGGCTTTGGTGCTCCCTGTGGGATCAGGGGTGCGAGGGGGCTGGGCTGGAGGGGGCTGGCGGCTGAGCCCCTCGGGTTCGTGTGCCCCGAGGCGAGGAGCAGCAGCGGCCAGCGGCTGGGAGAGGAGAGGAGCCCGTCGGGGTCGGGAGCAGGCGCTTCCAGGGCTGGGGGCTGCCCCGTGTCCCCCGGGGCTCGCACTGCTGCAGGCTACGAGGTGGTGGATGCTGCTGGCTCCCGTGGGTAGCTACAGACTGGTGTAACTGGGAAAGTGTGATGTCTTTGGAGGAGGACTCCGGGTCAGGGTGCTAGCAGAGGCTGCTGGCTCTGAAGCCAGGACGTGTGTAGGTTCCCATGGTGAGGAGAGCTGCTGGCTGAATTCACAGGGGCAGGTGTGCAGGCAGGTGTTCGGCGAGGCGTCCTCTCGCTGCTCTTGCTCCCTGCACGTTCCTCCTCCCTCAGTAAATTCGTGGCTTGTGGTTCTACTCCTCTGCTTCCCAACCCGGCGAGGGCTGCTGGGGCTTGGGGCTCGCTCTGCTGCGCTGGGGGCTGCACAAGCAGATGGAGGGCACAGTCCTTTGTAATTTGCTCTGTTTTGAAGCTCTTAGACCTTTGTTAGTTTTTTTCTCCTCCCCTTTTTTTTGGCATCTCCCAAGGAAACCACTGGCTGGTGCATTTCTTGAATTGCAGCCTTTTGCTATTTCAGCTTTGCTGGAAATGCTGCTGTTCCTGTTCCCCGAGCAACTGGTTTATACTGGGACAGGGGGAGGAGATTTGAGTCCAGTGTTGAGTGACGCTGTCACTGCACGACCTGTCTATTTAGAGGGATGCAACTTGCCCGTTTGTGGCTACATTTGATCCATTTTTCCTTTCCCGTAACCTGACCAGAAATCTGCTGTTGCCTGTTGGGCTGAATGACAGAGACGCGCGGACACGGGGAGGTTGTGCTTTCCCGGCACACACATTTCTTCCTCTGAAATGTAAATCTGCTCTCGGGTCAAACTTTATTCTTCTCTTTTAATATATTGAACACTCTGAGCCCTTGTTTTGAGTGGGGAATTGCTCTGACCACTTCAGGCTCGTCTGCGTTAGAAGATGGATGTACTTGCAGGGTGTTTAGATAAAGTAGAGAGGGTCAGTTGAGTTAAATACACACCACGAGTGTTATCAGCCTCTTGTTCTAACAGCTCCGTCGCGCTTTCCGACAGTGCGTGGTGATGACGGCGACCTTTTTTTCTCTGGTAAGACAACTGCTTGTGATACCAGCTGATTGGTGGAGTGGGCAGGCTGTTTGATGTCTGATCAGTTAGTGTAGTTTTTCACATGTACACGTGGTTTCGTGTGTAGACGCGTTTCTGAAGGTGAATGTCACAGCTGTCATTCGTAGCTTCTGTGTTCGTTAACTTGACTGTCTTAAATGTCTGTCAGTTGACACTACAATGATCCCTTTCTCCCACCAAAATTTCCAATCCCTGAACCTCTTTTCCCCTGCTGCTGAGTTAGTCAGGCTTTTTGCATGTTTGTGATAGTGGCTGTCGTTCTGGAAGCGTGTTGGTGTTCCCAGCATGTTGGGAGTCATTGCAGCTCATCCTTAACTTCCTGTCTGAAATCTGCTGCAGCATCCCTGGATTTACAAGAGTTTGCATGCACCCATGTGGATGCTCACCCCGATTGTGATCTCAGACCTCTGTGGATCGGGACCTCTGTACCACGTTTGTACCAGCAAATTGGCTGAGGTATTCCTCGACCTCAGCGTTCCCAACGCCGGGCAGTGACCGTGAGGATGGTACCTGCAGTCACCTCTTGCAAACTGGCAGTGGGGTGGGAGTTCGGGGGGCCATGGTGTGTGGGGTTGCAGCACTGGGGAAGCAGGAGGTTGCTGAGGATTGTTCGAGGGCTTGGGTGCTGTGGTGAATGATGCATGTTAGATATTGCAAACGCACCTCTCGGGATTTAGAGGATTTCTGATTGTTGCCAGTGCTCTGTCAACTTGTTGGGCTTTTACTTTGGGTTAAATGACTCCATGTGAGAAGATTTCTGCTTGTGTTATAGTGGTGAGGTTTTTATGAGAAACAGCTGCTAAATTTACCTGCAAGGAGAAGCCTGGCAATTGTTTGGGAAGCAGCTGGGACAAACCAGGCAATGTTCAGAACTGTTGTTTTGTGTAGCGCAGGCTTCAAGCGATTGCGTAGTGTCTGTGAGGTGGCCGAGATGTACAAGGTTTGCTAAAAGGTTTATTGTAGTAGTTAGCATACTCCTTCGTGTCCCTTAGTACAGCAGCAAAACATTAGATTTTGGGGATTGGTTTCCAAAAAAAAAGTAGCCACACTAAGTATCAAAGCAGCCTTAGTGTATCCAAGAAGAAATTTGGGCACTTGTCTTCTGCCTGTGTGTCACCCTGTCTCTGTTGTGGTCTCTTTTCACTCTGCAAAGTGTGAAATTAACTCTTGGCCCTGGTGCCAAGCCTGATTACTGACTTGTTTGCTCATCTCTCGAGGTGTGCAATTCCTCTAGAACACCTTTGCCTGCGGTTTCCCTGCTTCCCCGGGGCAGGGAGGATGTTGCAGTAAGTTCCCCACAGCAGGAACGGTATTTAATTATAGCTAACTTTGCCTTTCTGTACTCCTTCAAAAATAACTTCAAGGATTTGGAAACAGGGAATATGAAATTTCATCTGTCTGACACCTCATGGGAAGTCGAAGATTGGCAAATTAAAGGGACCTGATGCTGTGGGAGGAGGGTGGAGGTGACAGGAAAGAGCCTGCGGTGTCTGCTCCACCAACCCCTGCCTCCTCTGCAGCATCCCGGTGTGTGCAACAGGTCAACAACTGTGGAGTAACTAAAGTTGAAGGGTTTTCTCTTAGATCTTATTCCTATATCTTAATTTATTTTCCTTATTATTATTAGATGCATTTTCTAAATTAAAACTAGTAAATATGTACTGGACGTGTGCCCAGAGACAGTCACAGTGCCAATTAAGTGGAAGCATTAATGGAAGAAGTTGATGGAGAAGGCTGAGGTGCTTCAGTCAGTGGCTAGTTGTCAAGGCTCTGCGGTGCAGGAAGGATGCTTAAACAATAGATGTGTTCAGTGCTGTGGGTAAAGAAATTGCAAAAAAGGTACCTGGAGCAGGGATTTATTTTTTTGTATGTATGATAAAACTGTATCTGAGAGAATTTAGGTTACAAAGCTTTGTCATTGGGATCTGGAAATATTTAGAAAAGGAGGTAAGACTGCTTTTATCCTTGCTTAGAAGTGAGGCGGGCTGCAAGCTTCTGGCAGAGTGGCCTTGGGCCTTTTATAAGAGTCAGACACACTATCCTAGCTGGGCACCTGTGAAGAGCATCTCTTGACACCCATGCAGCTGCTTTGGAAAACTGCAGTCAGCCTGCAAGACAAGAGGATGGCCGAAGCCGATGGGGTTGGGGTCTATATCGGCTAAAGAAAAGGCAGGTTGCTTTAATTTTAGGCATGTACATCGTGTGGGAGCTTTACCAACACTAGAACATGGGAACTTGTCTAATTAAGGGTTTTTTTACCCCTTGGTTGCAGTGGAGAAACCTGTCTGTGGTCAGTTTTGTACTTTCAGTTTTGTGTTTTCCCTTCCTCAAAAACTTTTGACTGCCTTCCTCTTTTTGGGTGGTCATTTTGATTCCTGGTCCTGCTGAAGCTGCTCATGTATTTCAATATATCTCCTGATAAGGGACCTGCTAAGCTGTCCTGCACCCCCCGAAGCTCGTTCCAAGAACAGGGTCATAAATGCTCAGCTGGGCTGGCAGAGCTCCCTCGTTCCTTCCTCTGTCCGATTTCAGGTCTCTTTGATGTCAGCATGATATTTAGTTCTTTGGGTTTGGTTTTTTTTTTTTTTTAACTCTCACTGCTTGGACTACCTGTTCTTGACAGAACATCTCTGCTTCTGAAGTGCCAGATCCAGCTTTTTCTGTGTGGTGCTGCAGCGTTTCAGATGTTTCAAAAATAAAGTTTTGAATTAGGTACTTTCCTGGAAGAAATGAGCTTGTTGGGCATGGTGCAGGAAGCTGCATTCCCACTGTTATACCTGGTAAACGTTTGTGTTGAGCTGGGGGACTGAGTTTTTAACAGAGTAAATGCTGGTCTGTAAAGTCGTAGAAGATGTCCCCAGCAGTAAATTCTGTGGAATGTATTGTTTCACCACATAAACTTCACTGCCTACCGTGTTTATTATAATTTAAATGTGAACTTTGTCAAGGTCGGGGGATTTCATAGTTCCTGCTTAGATCACTGAGCTGAGCCCTGTGGGTGTGAGAGACGTGGACAAACTCCAAACAAAATCACCGATTTCTGCAGGTAAGCAGGAAGCAAGATGTGATAGACCGTGATAAGCCAGGCAAGAAGGAAATGCAGAGATAGAATTAAAGATTATCTCTCCCTAGGGGGTGAATATGCCACTGTGCAGCACTAAAAATGTTAAGCAGGAAAATAAACCCCACTGGAAAGCTAATGTGAAGAAGGGAGCGCAAACAGTGGGTCGAGGTACTAGGAAGGACGTGGGGAGGATGAGAAGCAGTAGAGGAGAGGGAGATCGGTTTCTGGCTTGTGCCGAAGCAGATGGTGGGGCTCACAAAGAGGTGGTGGCTTGCCAGGGTTTGGGGGGAGTCTTGGCTTTGTGCTGCCGTCCACGCAGCCTCTGGGATCTGCTCACGAGACGTGATCACTGGGACCCGTTCAGGGCCTGGAAATCTGCTGAAACCCAGGTCCAGGAGTCTGATGTAGATCCCTGCGCCTTGG